TCCGTCATATTATATCCGCCTTCAGTCACTCATTATCTCGATCTGTGTTCTGGGTTAATGCGAAATAAATGCATGCATCTGCTCTGGTAATCGATTCGGTCACGTTTTTAAGATTTATTTCCAATCATGTTTGTAAATATTCTGGAAACTGTACTCTATAGTATGAGTAAAAGTAAAGTACATGAAATTCTTTCAAGGTATTTGCTCAATATCAGGATGCATTAACAAACTTTGCGGTTTTTAACGTTACAGAAAATTATATATAGTTGTTATGTGTAACAGTTTTTTGTCATATTCTACGATACGTTTCAGTATTATTTTAATGATTGTCTTATTTTCATCCAATATATAAATATACCAGCTTTTCTCTTTGAGGTTTCACGTATGTTGTACCGAGACCTGATGCATACGAGGGTTAACCTAATAACTATTATTAACACACGGTTATTCTTATCTATTCTATAAGATATTTCATTAATGGTTTGAATCCTTTAATTCACAGACCAATATACGCAGCATTAACATCACTCCGACAATACGATTACATCAATGTTATATAATACAACAACAAATGTTGATACAATGTGAAAAATGAAGAAATGATACGAAAATTAAAAATTAATAATTGAATTAAGAGTTTATAACATACACCTGATGACGGCTCTATGAAAGCCGAAACATGTCGAGAATGTTCCATATGAAAATCGAGTACTCGATACGGAACAAAGGATAATATTTTAACCATTTAATTATCTTATATTACTTTATTGTGATTGACGGACAATTTTAATATATTTTAAAACTATTTATTTATTCTATTTAAAATTCTTCTTTAATTTCAGGTTTAATTCTGATGTTCAAACTTACACTTCATATTAAAACACAGACTTCGATTTTGTTATCACATTTAAACTGACTTTTCTTTGTCTTAAAAAGAACCTTACGATGTTTAACAAGTGTTAAAGTACATGGTACAAATGAAATTATCTTCAGCACATTAAATAATATCGAATAACAAAATTATGCAAAACTATCATTGTGTTAATTCACGTTAAGAGTACATACATAACAATTATTTATTAAATTGCGTATTCAGATATATCTTGTTTCTATTATATTCGACCTTCAATTGAAGGACAACTCTAAGAGGGGATAATTTTTTACATCTGTCTAGTCTGTAACTAACAGCTTGAAATCTGCTGACGGACAAGGTCCAGCGAACACTGTCACACAGGAAACAACGTGCCTCGAAAATTGAAACATTTCCGGAAACTGTCTTATAGACACAGAAGTGGACGCAATATTTATATCTTATTTATAAGAAAATTTGTAAAGTTTCTACTATCACAAGTATATTATATACTACCAGATGGCACCGCAGTGGTGTGGTAAATGATACAAATCTTTGTCACATAGAAGAGAATCAGAGGAAAATTTCAGTCAGCGTTACAGTTGTGAAAAGGGGGTCTAAACACTTAAGAAGGATGCGATGGGTGGATCACGCAGCACGTGTAGAAGAGATGAAATGCGCATAGAATATTTACAACAAAAATCTGAAGGTCGAACCTAGGCAGAGATTGAAAATAATATTAAGAAAGACCTGAATAAAATACGAAGATGAGAAGCGTAGAGTAGAGACTGCACGAATTTATTCAAAAAAAAATTTCCGACAGAATGCTTCTTTCTGAAGTTGCTTGCTGAAGCTCATTTGATAAAACATTGGGTAAACCCCCGCTCACCCCCATGATATGAAATTTGGTAAAAACCGGTCAATAGTTGCGGGTATAAAAACGAGCAAGGGTATGACTAACATTCACGAGATTACTTCCTATTTTGTTTTTTTATATTAAGTTCCGGTATATTCGAAATGATGTTCAGGTCACGTTTGAATCAGATAATGTATTTGTATATTAGAATTTTTATTCAAAAATATGAATAAAGATACATGCACAAAAATTACGTAAATATGTAACATACGATATTGTATAGGCGTACAGGAGTAAAACATTCATTTACAAAAACGTTACACTGTAGTCACCATATTCCTATGAATCTTAATTCAGTGTGTCGTGTGGCACCATTAAACTCATTATATCCGAATAAAATAATATAATGCATTGCTATTAATCATTTCCGAAATTCATGTTATCGTGAAATTTAGGCTATATTTTATGATTTATTTTCATAGTACCCGTACGATGTTGTGAGTAATAGTCAGTATTTCGTGCGTTACAAACAAATATCAATTTAAGAGTCTAAATATAATTAGCAGATTTCGTCTTGAGAAGTTAATACAGTGTTTTACATGTAAGACAAAACCCTAAATACTACTACACATGAACACGTTCAACCACAAAACGACCAAAATAATATCAATATTAAATTCCTGCAGCTATCTACTTGTCGCAGCTGTTGCATTGCTTGAAATCTCTACGGCCGTAATTTCAATATTAAATTCCTGCAGCTATCTACTTATCGCAGCTGTTGCATTGCTTGAAATCTTTACGATCGTAATTTGTTTTTTTAGCTCTGTAAGCAATTGTCACGGACAAAATTTTCCGTGTTCCAAAATTTTGTTTCCATTCGGTGTACCATTTTTTCATGAGGTACTACCTTTTCAGGAAACGCATTGATAAATATTTCACGAACGGCAGTAGACTACTTCGTCGAGAAGCAATGTCGGTAAAAGGAACTAAGGACGCACGTTCTGCTCGTTAGTTCACGATTTTCTCACCTGCGCATTTGGCGTGAGCAGCGGCCTACCAACAATGGTGGCCTTGCCTGGAGTGTGACGTTTAAGGTTAGGAGTCTATTTCACGTTCGTGGACCTGCGTCTTATATTACTTTTGTATCGCAGTATGTAATTATTGTTAAGTTGCATTTTATATATACACGTTTCACTTTTACATTAATTATAAATATCACTTCGTTAAAGAAGACGAAATATTTCCACCAATGGCTGGAGACGACTAATAATACCTGATCAGAGTCAAAATGGATCTAGTTCACACCCTCGTAACCTATTTATAATTCAGTTAAATTAATTTTAGTCTTCATTTATTTACGTACCGACTTATCCATCCTTTTCTCGGACTGGGACCTGTTCATATACGTTCTTGGCAGATGATCCAGAAGTGGTTTGCCATTGCCTTCTTCTGTGTGTGAATGGAGTAATTGTTGGGATGCCACGGAGAAACCGGAGGAAAACTCCGTGTTGCCTAGAGCACGGCCTTGCCCAACACAAGTAATAAATTCGGGTACCGCCGAGAATCGAACCCGAGACCCCAAGATTACAATGCCAGCGTTATAACCGCTAGACCACCGTGACGGCGTTAAGAGATTATGAAGGAAAAATAAACAAATTAAATTCGTTGAAATTGTAAGTACTATAGTTATTATTAAATGAGACAGCAGGGAATTGAAGAACACCACTTTTGAAACGGGAATGACAGAATTTAAAACCGAGACAAACCTGAATATGGAACAGTTTATCAAGTTGATACATCCTGTTACGTGAGACATGGAGTTTTAAACACTCGATAACATCCGGATAATTACAGGTTAATAAATGATTGCAATAGGGGCTGCTGACTTTAGCTGGATGCGATATAGTTTATTGGCATTGGTATTCGTAAAAGAATTTTAAATGACAGAGGCTTATTAAAGCTTCGAAGCTAATAAGCAGAAATATACATATAATAAAGTCAGTAGAGGATTTACGAAGTTAATAATTATAGGGTATACACAAAAGAATGGTGCGGTTCCAAAAGTTAATAAAAAAATTATTTCTCACCTAACACGGGTATGTTGTGCCCGTGCAAGGTGAGAAATAATTTTTGTATTAGTTTTAACTATCTGACAAAATCTCGGAGAATTGCCTGTTGCATAGCATTTTGGACAAAGGCATTTATTTTTTTTAAATTTTGTAATATGACAACTTTTGATTATGGATTTTGAAATTTCAAAAAAATTTAAAATTTTAAAAATAGGGATGTTTACAAATTTGAAAATTTAGAAGTTTTAGAAATATTTAAACCTTTAAATGTTGTGGAATTATGAGTTTTAAAATTTTTGAAGTCATAAAAATTGAAAATTATAAAAATCTCAGTATGTGGTTTGGGTTATTTCAGACTACGTTGTGTGAAGTCAGGTTAAATTTCAAGAGATTAGGATAGGATAGGTTAGGTTAGGTTAGGTTGTCAGGTTAGGACAGGGTAATTTAATTTATGCTTAGTTAACTGTGTTTATTTTCGATTAGGAAAGTTAGGTGATGCATTGTTAGATATTTCTTTTAGTTAGATTCTGATAGGCCAAGTTAGGTTGATTGAGCTTACGAGTAGTTACATCAGCTTAGATCAGATTACGTCTGTCTAGATTAAGTTAACTTATATTTCTTTTAAATCTCCGTAGAATAATTTGTATTTGTCTATTATGCAGCTTGTAACAAGCAGCTTGTTTTGTTCATACTATGGTCGGGAGTGTTCATGTTCTCCCTGTTAGCCTGGCTAACACTTTGGATAACAAACAATATAATATCTTACTTTCATGGCCCAATGGCACTCCATACATTAGAACACAGAGAACCAATTATATAAAATGCATCATTGGCGGCTTCAACCAGGAAATCGTTGTCAACCGCGTATTCTAGTGTAATGTATGCCTGTTGTAAGTTCAGGCTTATTGGAAAGGACATCATACAATGCCGAGGCGAGGGACGACCTATATACTCAGCTGCAAAATTTATCTCTACTTCTCGGCATCTGTCTAAAGCATTTTAAAAAATCAAGTATCGCCACTGGTATACACCCCTTCAAAATTTCGATTTAGAACAAATTCCAGTACTCAGAGAGTTAAAATGAGGATTTATGGAATGAATGAATGACCATGAGAGATTGTCGGTGGCGATAAGTGTTCTTCCCTAGCGTTTCGACACTAAGGTCCAGTTACAATTATACAATAAAATGAATAATTAATGTATAGGTTTCAAAACTACACGTGGCTTGTTGGTATAAATATGTTCAGGAGCCCATGAATTTGCAACAGAAATCAACATGTATTCTTCAACTGCGTTTACCTTCCTGGCCATCGCTTCTGCCTCCGTTCTTAGTTTTACAGTAGATGATCATAACTCATGTAAGTATCTACATTATTTCACAGATCCTGAAGCTGAAGGAGCCTCAGAAAAACAAAATTTGTTTGAGATATTTTGAGATATGCTTTCGGCGCGACTTTGGTTTCTTCATCACAGAAATTTCTTTCATATTTCGCTGCGTTATCAAACTATTATATTTGTCGTTTCTCTACAATTTCCATACGACAACTTCACTAGAAGCGTGTGTATGATTATAAGTTCAAAACAGGATAATTGGAAAAAATTTCAGTTAATTCTAAAATGGAAATATATAATTCAGAAACGATATATTGGTTGAAAGAATCCCTTTCCAATACGCCGGTAATAAGCAACAATTTCCGAAAATATTTTAAGACATTTAGTGTAAAAGAACTAACATTTGGTGGCACATCGCCATACATAAATCACTTGCATTTTCTGGCCGCTAGTAATGATAGACCAGATAACACTTTCTCCAAGAGAACTCGGTGCCTGGTGCCTGTAAGCCTTCGTAACAGACTTGCGGGATTAATAAAGATTTTCCAGCATTGAAGATGAACACAGTAAATACTTCTATCTGTCCAAATTTAATTTCTAAAGAAATTTGTATTATTGACTACAGTGAAGTTTGGTGTATCAGTAAAATGGTTATTGGATGGAGCACTTAGCTGGGCTCTACCTTGGAAAGAAACACTTTTTGACCGAAATCCGTATGGATTTTATATTTCTATTACTGTGTGAAACTCACTTCCAAAAATGAAGGAACTTTTGAGATGGACTCTATGTAACATAGCTAATGATTTTCGTAAATAACGTGGAAATTTTAAAATATATGGAAACTGTTGTAGTAAATCAAAATTTCATTAATTAATTACGATGAAATTCAGAAGTACTGGTCTTTACCTCTGCTCCCTGAAAATGCAAAGTGTAAAATATAAAACATTATAATTTCGCTTGTAGTTTTTATTGGCGTAAAACGTAGTTTCTCTTTTAAGAGGATGAACATAAATTTAAGACGTGTGATAACAGAGTACTGATAATATTTTGGCTCAAGATGATTGGATTAACGTGATTTTGGATAAACTTTCATAATAAGGAGCTTCCTAAAATATGGAATTCACCATATATTATTCTTATGTTAACTGGGATATGAATACGAAAAAATAAACAATATTTTGTTGTAAATGCATGTGGTAGGATATCACTCAATGAAGATGTGAGAATTATATTAAAAGAAATCTTAAAGTATTTTGTGTAATGGTTTGGAGTAGTCTAATTTAATTCAGGGTGTAATCTTATGTAATTATATTAAAAGAAATCTTAAAGTATTCTGTGTAATGGTTTGGAGTAGACTAATTTAATTCAGGGTGTAATATTATGTCAGTTTACAATAAAACATAATAAACACCAAGTCCCATTAAGGGCAGGCAATTTATTGATTATCCGAGTGATTATTACTTTTCCAATAAGGACTGCATTGAGTCAGATGGTATATTATTATGTGTAAGTTTGACATAAGTACATTTCTTAATTTTGTTCTGCAATGCTCAATACACAGTGCCTATTCATAACTGTAATAGTCTGTGTTCTGGCGGCAAGAAATCATGCGAATACCTCAAATGTATACACTTAACTCTTTTTATCATAAAATTAGATTTTGTCCAAACTATACAACACTTCCTTAGGACACTAAGAGATGAGAGAAATTATATTTACCCTAACTTGAATGCTTACATCTTTTCAGACTTGAAACTATTCTCCCAGCAAGACTTTAACGAAGCATCGGATTATATTATAGGAATGAATGACCACCAACACAACAGTTTCAGATTCACTCGGTCTGCTGAGGGGAATAAGAATTCTCCTCGTATTGTGGTATGTCAGCTTATTAGGATTTGTTATTTATCTCAAGAGTGTTAATAAATGAAATATTTGTAGATAAATTTAAATATTATACTAAACAGAGAGAGTCTAGTTATTAATTCTCATAATCAGGATTTGAAGTTTTTACAGCGGTGAGTCTGAAGATGGCTGTCTCCTGGGTTGTTGCGCCGTGTAGTCTGGTAGAAGTTTATCGACGTTTCAGAGGTCCTTGCTGCCTCCATCATCAGGGTAATGAGTAAGCTAAGCTCGTGGAAATGGTAAACTTCTACCGAACTACACCCAGAAGACAGCCATCTTCAATGTTCACAACCGTTTTGTTCATGTAAACAATTGGTACGAAATTCCCTTAAATTATATATTTGAAAAAAATGGTTATTTCTTCAGTTAACATAGATTTACGTTCCGATGCACATTACTTTCTTTTATTCGCCACTGACAATTTACTACGCTTTGCGTTAAAATATGCAGGCGGTAATCACTGTACCAAATAAGTTCGGGCAGCATATTTTACTTGAGTTCCTGACAAAAGGACCTGAGGTTTAAATATCAATAAAAACAAAAGACCGAACCATGATACGGTATCCAACCACTAGTGTCTACCGCCAATCCTCAAGATCCGATTGCCTCAAATCCACTACAATGCTATCCAAATTCCTCATTTTTCCAAGTATACATTTTTCAAGAAATTCCCTACCAAAATTCCTTATTTATCCTTGTCACTCCCACATCACTGTGGTCTTTTGTACTTAACTATCACAAAACTGGGGGTCTATATAAACCACAAAATTACTCAGCGTTTGAAAAACAGATGCAATTATTCTAAATATCTACACGTAAAATAACAGTCATTAGAACTTATGCCAGCCTGGTAACGTTATCCAGATTTCATAATCCTTGTAAGTAACCAGATTTTCTTTAATGATAAAATATATATTTTATTGTAGCAATGTTGCCAATATCCACATGTAAGTCCAACAGATGAAGAGAAACAAATGATGCAGTCATGCAGACAGCAGACAAGTAAGTGAAATAAGTTGAATATATTGATCCTTTAAACGATTCAATTTCAAGAATAGTTCTTTGGCTCCTTTCTAACTGTGTTTCCCCATTTCTACCAATAAACGTTTTTAAAGTTCACCTAAGTCTAACCTAACGTAACATCTCCATGTTCCATATTCTCCCATGTTTTGACTTTATTGTGAGATAGCCACTTTTACATATAAACGCAATTTATATATTTTCAGTTTAGCTAAATTTCATATTTAAATTAAAAGTAAAGATAGGACTATGTTACTATATCCGTGGGTTAAATCGTGTGCCTTTTACTTCAAACCAAAACTTTTGAATCGTTTGAGGAATCTTCATAGCCACTAGTAATATTACTTGTTTATTTATTATGTATTATCAGTGTTTGCCTGTTATTGGCTTCTTGCTGTTGGCAAACACTTAATAAATTAATTGAATTGAATTATTGTGAATAGAATTAGTATTGTGGTTCTGTGAACATAAATGTTTTAATGACAGTCGTTCCATTGTTAATAATCTACTCTAGGAATTTGTAGTGTTGTATGTAAATAGGTTTTCAAAATACATAAAAAAA